GTTCCCCCTCCTCCGTTAGACTGTAAGCTTCTTGAAGGCAAAGTCTGTTTTTTCTCCCCTCTTTCTTTGTGTTTCCATTGCTTAGCACAGTGCCTGGCACATAATAGATGCTTAATAAATGCTTGTAGACTGACTAATGACAACCTTGTAAGGTAAACGATGGAAGCATTCATTATTAGCCCTGCTTTATGGATGGGGAAACTGAGACCCAGAATAGTTCAGCGCCTTGTCTATACTCATGCAGTTGCTACAAAGGAGAACTGGGTCCAGTTCAGTTTTTCTTCCACTCCCAGGGGCCTTTTCCGGCTACACTGTGCTGAGGTTTTAAAATTAATTAGCCAGCATCATTCAATACACCTTCAATGTAATTTGGAGCCAGAGCCATCTGGAAAATTCTTTTCAAAGTAGGCGAGGTGAACCTAAGCGGTCCCGATAATTGCTTCAGTTTTATTTTCCCAATAGAAACCTGGTCTCATAATGCAATAAATCAAAACATCTTAGACTATCACAATTTTTTCAGAGCCTGCTATTTCACAGAAGCAGTGGAGAAAACTGATTTAGGGCTGCTTAGAAAGGTCACTCTCCAAGTTAGAACCAGTCAGGAATCTCCTCAGACTGGGCAAGGCATTTGCCCTGTAATAATAGCCAACACTCGCAGAGTACTTTAGGGTTTGAAAAGCACTTTGCATATATTACCTCGTATCAACTCTGAGAAGTAGCTATTATAGGTGTGATTAACCCCATTTGATAGATTAGGACATTGAGGCTGAGAGAAATTAAATATCTTGACCATACTCACAAAGCTAGTAAGTATCCAAGGCAGGATTAGAACCCTCATCTTCCTGATTCCAGGACCAGCATTCTGTACATTAGGTCCTGTTGTACTTAAAATATGTTGTATTAAATAGGTTCAAATATATTTATAGAACATATCAATAATATATTATGTTCATATCTTTTAAAAAGCTGTAGTCTCTCAAAGGATTAATTGACCCCAGGGTAGTGGAATAACTTTTCTAAAATTTTGTCACAATAAGTCAGACAAGTCAACGAGCATTTATTTAGCACCTATTATTTGCCAGGCACTGTGCTAAGCACCGGAGATACAAAAAAAAGTCAAAGACAGTCCCTGTTCTCAAGGAGCTCACAATTTAATGGTAGACACAACGTGCCAACAGCTATGTAGAGACAATACACACGGGACAAATTGAGCATTGGCATGAAGGGTCATTGGGAAAGGTTTCTTAGAGAAGGTGGGATTTTAGCTGGTGTGTGAAGGAAGCCGAGAAGCAAGGATGAGGAGGAAGAGCATTCCAGACACAGGGACAGACGAGGTAAAAGCCTGTTTTCATTTATGTTTCACAATAACTTCCCTTTTCTTCTTCATGTTTCTTTTACCTTTTAGAGGAGTCGTGGTAGTAGAGAACAGTGCGCTGGCCTGAGTCAGGAAGACCTGAGTTCAGTCCTTTCTCTCTCCCTTTCTGTCCCGCTTAACACTTAACAACTAACTAACCCTGGGCAAAATTACTTACCCTCTCAGTGCCCAGTCAACTCCTTAAAACTCTGAATGGCAAAGCAGGTGAGGGCTTGTATTGGCAGATAAAGAGTTTTCCTCAGCTAATTCTTTATCCCAATGAAGCCCGATATTCCTCCTCTCCAGCTTTTGCTTTGATTAATATGAAAAAAAAAGGCAAAGAAGAATTTGGCTGACAGAAGCTTTGAGGCACCTCTCTGGGCCTCGGTTTCCTCATCCGCAAAATGATGAGGTTGGGCTGTATCTCTAAGGGCCTTCCAGGTCTAAAACCTCTGACCCAATTGCCCTTCCCCTCTCTGGACCTCAGTTTCCTCAAATGTAAAATGTTGCAATCTTATCTCCAAAGGCCTTCCAGGTCTAAAACCTGTGACCTAATTGTCCTTCCCCTCTCTGGACCTGAGATTCCTCAAATATAAAACAATGTTTTATTATCTCTAAGGTCCCTTCCTCCCTTCCCGCTCTATATTATCTGAATAATAATGATGTTTCAGCTTTCTGCTTTGCTTTGCCCCAGGAAACCTGTATTGCTGAGGTCACATGAGTACAAATAGTTCCCTAGTCAGGAGGGAGGTTGTTTTCCCTTGGAAGATGAGGAAAGAGTAGAACTACTCTTATCCCTGACCGGGCACTTGGCAAAGAAAGACTGAGCTGCTCCCTGAGCCCCAAAGAAGGCCATCCTGCAACTTTCTTGCCTTTTAGGGACACAGCATCTGCTAGGGAGCCTGGCTCATTTCAAGTGAATCAACAGTGTCACCCAGTGGACAGACAGCCACATGGGCTGCTAAGTTATTCTAAGAGAAACTTGTTTTGACAATAACATCATAGCTAGAGAGCTAGAAGGGACCTAACCTCCCTTCCCCCATTTCACAGAAGAAACTGAGGTCCAAGAACACATAAACCTATTTGTTCTGGAATGACAAGAGTCAAGCTTTAGGTTTGTCTTTAGTTCTTTTTAAAGGTTGATGTCAACAAACGCAGGAAGGTGACAAACCTTTGAGTCAAGTCAAAAAGCTTTTTTTTGGGGGGGGGCAATTGGGGTTAAGCGACTTGCCCAGGGTCACACAGTTAGTGTCAGGTGTTTGGTCTGAGGCTGGATTTGAACTCAGATACTCCTGACTTCAGGGCCAGTGCTCTATCCACTGCGCCACCTAGCTGCCCCCTCAAAAAGCATTTATTAAGCACCTACTGCATGCCAGGCACTGTGCTAAGCTCTGATGATACAAAGAAAGCCAGGCTCTGCCCTCAAAGTTACAGTCTAATGAAAGATGTCCAGAGCTTTGGGCTAACTGCAGAATTTAGGCAAGATGGAGTCCCTTCCCTAATAGTAGGATGGTAGGAGAAAATATCAAAGCTTATTAAATCATTGATTTAATTAAATAATAATTGATGTTTTTCAGCTTAAATCCTTCCTCCCGTGAAAGTCCTTTCCCAGTCTCCTCTACTGGTAGTGGCTTCCCTCTGACCTTGCCACCAATTTACCCTACGATAGAGTTTGCATGTTGTCTCCCCTAATTGAATGTGAGCCCCTTGAAGGCAGGGATTGCTTTTTGCCTTTCTTTGTATCCCCAGCATTTATCACAGTGTTGTTGTTCACTCCTCGTGACCATATTTGGGGTTTTCTTGGCAAAGATACTGGACTGGTTTGCCACTTCCTTTTCTTTCTCTTCCTGGAATATAGCAGGTGCTTAATAAATGCCTGAGTGATTGATGAGCATAAGTAAGCTACAGTACATGACAAGCAAGGAATTATAGAAGAAGAAATGAATAAAGAATGTCATCAAAGAAATGTATAAGCAAAAACAAGGTGGACCAATTGAGCACATGATGAGAAACACACATATATGGTGGGTAGCCCAATAGTAGAGGCCAGAGGAAGCCACCAGTGTTAGCTGAATAAGATAATGACATGCTCAGATCTGTACTTAAGGAAAATCACTATGGCAGCAGAGTGAAAAATGGATTGGAGAGGAGAGACTGTTGCAATAGTCGAGGGGAGAAAGGCTTGAACTCAAGTGCATGTGGAGAGAAGGGGTTGGATGTGAGAGACATCAAGGAGGTAGAAATAGAAAGATAGGACCACCCATTAAAAATGTGTGGTGAGAGAAAACAAGATCAGAATAATGCCAACATTATGAACCTGAAACAATGGCAAAATGGTGGTAACTTTGACAAAAATGGGGGAGATTGGGAGAGGAAAAGAGGGAAGAGATGGAGGAGAGACAATGAATTCAGCTTCAGAAATGCTAAATTTGTGATATCTATCAGTCACTCATTTTGGGATGTCTAATAAGCATTTGGTGATGTGCAATGGAAACTCAGCGGAGAGGCTCAGGCTGTATATCTAGACCTGGGAGTTATCAGCGTAGAGGTAATAATGATAAATGGCAATAATAAGCTATGTATTATTTTCTCTCTCTTCAGATCAGAGACTGATCTGAATTTTATTGCACTGATCGTATTGCAACATTTTGTAACAGAAACTAGAAGTATGCTGATGCATCTTGAGCCGGTTCACAGAGAACCAGTCCAAGGGTAAAAGGATTTGTTCTGTGAAGGTTAGATTCAATCAAAGGGCAGCACTTGAGGACGTACAGGGCCACGTATGGCTTTGAGGCCACAGGTTCTCTACCCCTGAGCCAGCCGGTTGTTAAATTTTTGGCATAAGCATTTACACCTCAAATCAGAAAAACATTACAAACCAGGACTTGATTTATTGTTTTGTTGATATCTAGACTTAAGAGTGATGGAGAAAATGTTAACAGAGAGTCAACTTAAAAGTGTAACATGCATACAATATTTTTTTCAATATATTTTTCAGAATTTTTTTCAGTTGTTAAATACTTACCTGTACACCCCTGATTGTACTCCTAGATAACCAATATATGAGGTGTTGTAGATGGACATAATTATAGCCTAAAACCCAGCTTTGTTATTGTTGTTGTTCAGTCCTTTCAGTTGCATCCAACTCTTTTTTTTTCTTTTTTCTTTTTTTTTTAGGCAATTGGGGTTAAATGACTTGCCCAGGGTCACACAGCTAGTAAGTGTCAAGTGTTTGGTCTGAGGCAGGATTTGAACTCAGGTCCTCCTGAATTCAGGGCCAGTGCTCTATCCGCTGCGCCACCTAGCTGCCCCCCATCCAACTCTTAATGACCCTATTTGGGGTTTTCTTGGCAAAGATAATAGAGCGGTTTGCCATTTTTTTCTCCGGCTCATTTTACAGATGAAAAAACTGAGGCAGACAGGGTTAAGTGACTTGCCTAGGGTCACACAGCTAGTCTGAGGCTGGACTGGAACTCAGATCTTCCTCACTCTAGGCCTAGCACTCTATCCATTCCACTACATAGCTGCCCTTAACACACCTATACAGCCTACCTCATATTAAAAAAAGAAAATGCTCCTATGACGCTCAACTATATTGCTCTCCAACTAAAATCTATAAGTTTAAGACGGGCTACAAAGAACATACCAAGAACATGCCTGGGGCAACATTGTGGCGGTAGACCAAGAGGGAACCAGCACGATCATTGAATTCATCAGCACTGCTGATATTATACTTGAGCAACCGAAAGGGATCCAGGCGGCTCTGTGGAAGACAAGGAATGCCAACATATTAAAAATACAGGCAATCAGTCTTTCCATATCCAGGCATGTGTATTCCCCAGTATAGTAAATACAGTAAAGTAAATGGAGTAAACTCCCCTATTAAACAGAGAAGGACCATAGATTTGGAGCTATAAGTCATCAAGGTCAACCTCCTTATTTTACAGATGGAGAAACTGAAGCCCAGAGAGGTTTAGTGCCTTGGCTGGGTTACACAGCTAATCACTACCTGAGGTGGCATTGAAACCCAGGTTTTCCCAACTCTAAATCCAAAGCTGTATCTACCATGGATGCTGCCCCTATAATCACTGACTAGATTAAAAGATAAAACACAGTCACCTGTTTCCTTTAAGAAGTATACTTCAAACCAAAAGACATAAAGAGACTAAAAATTAGGGGAAGGTGTAAGGTTGATCAATGAAAGTCAGTGAAGCTAGAGTAACTATAACCCAGATCTATAACCAGGGCTGGGTGATCAGAGCTTTAATGCAGAGGATGCTGGCTACCATTGTCAGCCAGTAGTATAGAGCCAACTGAATTTAGCATCTAGTTAAACAAGCATAATTAATTAAAGTTAAAATTAAAAATCAACAGATATGGCAGAATTAACTAATAACAACAACAACAAAATAATAATAGATAGCATTTATATAACACCTACTGTGTCCCAAGTATTGTGTTAAGCACTTTACAAATATCTTATTTTACCTTTACAGCAACCCTGGGAGGTGAGTGCTATTATTAGCCCCATTTTGCAGTTGAGGAAACAGAGAAACAGATGTTAAGTGATTTGTCTCCTCTTTCCTCCTCAGTCTGCCCTGCTCCCTATTATCCTAGCAAAATATCTGCTTTCTCCTTCTACAGAGTTCAGGGTCTCCCAGTCTCCCACTCATGGGGGCTAATTCCTCCCCCTCTTTCTCCTCCCCAAATTGCATTTATCTCAAAGAGTTAATTTGATGGCACATTACATGCTGTCTGCTCCAGGCTTGTTTCTAAATTCCTTTCTCCAGGCAAGAAAATTGCTAGTTGCAGCAGTAGCACTATTATCGTATTAAATTGGATTTCATAGTAAATGCATTGAATGGTCTTTCAACTACCCCATGCTGCCTCTCACGGGGAAAACCTAACAGTGATTGTTTATGCCTAACAGAAGAGCATCCCAATACATAAAAGGGACAAACTGATAGAAATGTAAAAAGAAAGAGATAATAATATGATTGGGGTGGGAGACCCCCTGTGTGATCAGATCTAAATAGACTTCCACTATCACTCTGATAGTGATGCATCAACTTGACAAGGATTAGTAAAGAAATGATAGACAAAAAAGGCAGAATTAACTCATGATCACAATAACATTGGGCAGCGAGGTGGCACAGTAGATAGAGTGCCAGGCTTGGGATCTGGAAGAGTTCAAATCTGGCCTCAGACACTTACTAGCTGTGTGACCCTGGGCAAGTCACTTACCTCAGTCTGCCTCAGTTCCTTATCTGTAAAATGAGCTGGAGAAGGAAATGGCAAATCACTCCAGTATCTTTGCCAAGAAAACCCCAAATGGGGTCATGGAGAGTTGGACACGACTGAAATGACTGAACAACAACAACAAACAATAATAATAACAGCTAGCATTTATATAGCAACCACTGTATGCCAGGCACTGGGCTAAGCACTTCACAAATATTATCTAATTTATCTTTACAACAACCCTGGGAGGTAAGTGCTATATTTATCCCCATTTAACAGTTGAAGAAACTGAGGCAAACAGAAGCTTAGTGACTTGCCCAGAGTCACACAGCTGGTAACTATCTGAGGCTGGATTTGAACCCAGGTCTTTCTGACTGGTTCACTCTATTCACCTTGCTGCCTAACTAATCTATGGAAATCATTTCTTAAGGAAAGTGGATGCTTTTTTTTCAAGGTTATGACTAGAACATCGAATTGATCTCATAAATGGGACAAAAGATAGATTGAGTAAATTTAAAAAAAAAGAAACAAATTTCAAAAATTCTATATACCACATACTTAGACTACAATGTAGTAAAAAAAATGTGAAATGAATACTAAAGCAAATGTCAAGTGCCCAGCGTATGGAAATTGAAAATCATAACTCTTCTAGATGACACCCAGGTTAGGGAGGAAATAGCAAGAAAACAATTATGTCTATGTCTATATCTGTATCCATATCTCCTAGAGCTATAGAAATATGTCTAATAGCTCTAGCTAGATGAATAGCTGTAGCTATTGTTATATATAGATGAGGGGACCAGATAGCAATATAGTTATATTTACATATCTGAGACTAAATCTTCCCATCTCAGACCAGAAGTTTAGGTGTAACTCATGGGCTGGAACCCACTACTTATTGGCACAAAAATGTTGACCTGCTCTGTTTCCAACTTGGGCAGATTCGACCTTCCTTAGGCAACCTGGTGGCCCCCACTCAATAGGATTCACCATAAAGATGTTGAATACTGTTGGGACACCTCATCAACATAGCCTGCTGAAGCTCAGAACTTCCAAACTCAGGAGATGCACCAGCCTCAGCCTGTCAGTTAACTGGGATTACAGGGAGTAAATCATACCCCACTGTAAAATAATTCTTGAAACAACAAAAGTAGAAATACAACATATAGAAGTGTATGCACTCTTACTGCAAAGGGTAGAATATAAGCACTCTAATCCTGGGAGAGACTTTAGAGGTCATCTTAAGACTTCTATACTATGAAAGTAATCTCTACAAAAGTAGAGATTTATATTAAAAAAGTTGTAAAAAGAGAGACTACCCAAAGAACTTAGAAAGCAAGCTAATTTAAATTTAAAGGAAATTTAAAATTTAAAAAGGAAATAACCTAGAGCGGAAATAAAAAAGAACAAAGAAAAAAATAATATTGATTAAAGCAATCATCAGTTCTTTGGAAAAATTAACAAAGTAATATTAGCCCAACTAATTTTTTTAAAAAAGATTAAAATGAACAAAATGAGAAAGGAGCCATAGCAACAAATAAATAGAGATGAATACTGAAGGGAATATTATTCTTCACTGTATGTTAATAAATTTGATGAGTTAGTAGCAATGATAGAAAATGCAAAATGCAAAAAATACATAAATACATAAACTGATGCATAAAAGGGGAGGTATAGCCCAGCTGGAGCATTTTGCCAAACTTCCAAAGAACAAATAACCTTTTTACTGCACAGAATATCCTAGAGTATAGAAAAAGATGCAGTGTTACTCCATTTATTTTATGAAGAAAATGTGGATTTAACTCCTAAACCTGGCAAAGAGAGCATAAAAATTATAGGCCTATCTCCCTTACAAATATAGACATAAAGATCCTGTATAAAATCTTAGCAAACACAATACAAAAACATATGGACATGATTATCCACCATGACTAGGTAGGGTTTCAGGGAAGAAATATCATTCATTCATTCATTCATTCATTTTTTCATTTCATTCACCCATTGATTTAACAGCTAAAGTGCCTACTCTCTACAAAAACACTATGTATAAATAGTCCATAATATTAACAGTCCATAAAGTAATAGAATAAAAAGCACTATGTAATTAGCTCAATAAAAATATTGAAATTACATTATTTTAAAAGCTAATTAACTAACTACCCAGAGATTATGAAGAAAATATGTAAAATAAAAATATGTGTTTTCCCACATCTGTCCATGCAAGAAAGCAGGGCCTTGAAAAGAATATTGTGTTTTCACACGCAACTCGGAAATAAGATATACAGGCAACGGGGTATAGAACTCTATCCTGCCCTATAAGAAAACAGAAAGGGAAGGAGATGACAAGGGGGGTTGATAGAAGGCAGATTAGGGGTAGGAGTATTAGAGGAAGGGGTATTCAGAATGCTTGCTGTCTTGGCATGGGGGAGGGGCGAGATGGGGAGAAAATTTGGAACTCAAAATCTTGTGGAAGTGAATGTTGCAAACTAAAAATAAATAATTTTTTTTAAAAAAGAAGAAGAAGAAGAAAGAAAAGAGTATTGGCTGCCCCATAGTCTAGAGCCTAGCTTGGCTGCAGCTGCTTGGGTGACCTTGGTAACTCAACCTCTCTGGGCCCAAGTATCCCTGCCTCCAAAATGAAAAGGTTTAAACACCACTGCCTCCATGATTCCCATTTTCTTTCCCATTCTGTGATTCTTCACTGATGCTGTGCTGGATTTGAAGTTAAAGGATCCTGGTTCGAATCCTGATTCTGTACTTATTCATTCAACAAGACTTTATTAAGTACATCTCACATTTTATTGGAGGAAAGCAGCATAAAACGTTAAAGAAGACACAAAGGGATGTCTGCAAGGAGGGAATCCGAAGGGACTTCCTGTGGGAGGTGGCCCTTGAACTGAGCTCTGAAAGAAGTCAGGGATTCTCCAAGCTTGGAGGGGAGGAGGGAGGGCATTACAGGTGTCAGGCAAAGCGATGGGAAATGCAATGTTCAGTACCAGGAACAAGAAGCCAGTTTGTCCAGCATGTAGAATGTATTTTGCATTGATTTTGTCTATATGCATATATGTACAAATGAAAGAGAAGAATGTGAAAGGAGCCTGGAAGAGTAGAGAGAAAAGAGTCAAAGAAAGTTCAGAGAGGTCTATCCAGAAGCAGGGAGATTTCTTCCCTACTGTTAAAATTTCACATATCCTTTAAAAAGCAGTCTGTAGTAGAAATTCAGTCTCGTATACAATCCCCTTTGGGGGTTTCTCTGTCTATTGAAATGTTTATGATTGTTAATATTTGATAAATCATAATAATTTTTTAAAGACAGACATAAGCTTGGAAAAATAGGATGGCACTAGATTGCGAACAGTTTCAAAAGCTATAAGGAGGACTGAATTTAAGCCAAGGTGAGGGGATTGACGTGGTGGGATTTGGGTTTTAGGAATATCAGCTTCACAGCTGTGTGGCAGATGAATGGGGGCAGAAGAAAACTAAAACATGGACAACAGTCAAAAGCCTATGGCAAATCTTTGTTTTATGGGATGGTTCTCTAGGAGCGGTAGAAATGGGGTGGGGGGTGGAGATACAGGGGGAAAATTTAGATGATGTAAATGCAAGAAATAACAACTAGAAACAATTTTTAAAAGACTATTGTTATGGTCCTAGCAAGAAGTAAGTTAGCATAATGACAAGACACTTAAGCTGTCTGCTTCAGTTTCCTCATCTATAAAATGAGAATAATAGAGCCTACCATCCAGAGTTGTTGTGAGGATTAAATGAGATAAGAATTGTAACACACTTAGGACAGTGCCTGGCACAGTGCTTAATAAATGCATGCTCTCTCTCCTCCCCACTGCCCCACCCAGAAGCTACCTGTGTGACCTTGGGTCTCCTGGGCCTTAATCTCACAGTATCATAGATTTGGAGCTGGAAGAGATGTTGAATGAAGTGAATCCCCAAGAAGTGAAATGAACCAGTGTCCACGATGACATAGCTAGTATGGGGGGGGGCAGAATGTGAACCCAGGTCTTTGTGACTCCAGATCCAGTGCCCCATCCCTGATGCACTATGTCTCTCATCTGTGAAATGAGAGGGTTGCACTCAATGGCCTCTAAGGGGCTCCCAGATACCTACCCCCAGTGCCCTGATCCCCTTGGTGACACCTGCAAGAGGCAGGTTACAAGGCTATACCTACCACTCACCTGTATGCAAGGCATGTTTCTCGTTCTGTTTTTGTGGGCATACAACTCTTCTATCTCCCGCAATGTGCCATCCTCCGCCATAGAAGAGTCATACACACAAATCACTGTGATTTGCTCTGGGCAGGATATCTGGTTGTTTATGAGAAAATCAAATTCCAAGTCAGTCACATGAGGGATGGAATGGCTGCTGCACCTGCAGAGCCTTATATCCTCTCCCCTCATTTTATTCCTCAGAACCACAGGACAGAGCAGCTGGGAGACGAACCAAATGTTCTCATTGTCGATGGAAAAAGGCAACCTGGAAAATGAGGGGAGAGGGCAGGCTAAGACAGAAAACCGTAGCATGTGAATAAAAAGAAAAGGGTGGTTGAGAGAAAATTAAGATTGTGTCTGAGTCCTAGCATTTCAAAGGCAAAATGGACTACCTAGAAAAGTAGTGAGTTCCCCCTCACAGGAAGTATTCCAGCAGAGAATGGCTGGCCACTTGCCCAGGTGGCTGTAAAAGGAATTCTGTTGTGAGGCCACATGGTCTAGCTATATAGGGGTTCTAAATCTGGGGTTTTAAATTTAAATTTAAAATTGAAATGTTCAATTTTAAATTTAAATTTAAATGTTTAAATTTTCATTTTACAATTAAATTTTAATCTGAATTTAAATTTTGTTTTAATTTAAAATTTAATTTAATTTAAATTTTATTTGAAATTAAATTAAATTTAAATGTTATCTAAAAATAAATTTAAATTTTATCTAAAATTTAATTTAAATTTTATGTGAGTTTAAATTTTTGTGTTAATTTAAAATTAAATTTAACTTTTAAATCTGAATTTTAAATTAAATGTTATTTAATCTAAATTTAAAATTACATTTAAATTTTAAATTACATGTAAATTTTTAAGGTAGGTTTTAAGTTACATTTAAATTCATATTTTATTTTGAAATTTTACGTTAAAATTTTAATTTGAAATTAAATTTAAATTTAACTTTTGATTGAAATTTAAATTTTAAACTTAATTTTTATAATTATATTTGATTATGATTGGTTTTCTTTTGTGGTCTTAAATATTTTGTTTTATATTTTAAAAACTTTATTTTGAAAACTTGTCCATAGGCTTCACTAGATTGTGAAAAGGGTACATGATGCACACAAAAGCTAAGACTCCTAGTATAGTGGATAGAATTGATGGACATGCAGTCAGGAAGACAAGGGTTCAAACTATGCCTTAGACACTTATACTAGCTGTATGACTCTGGATCGCAGCCCTTCTGAGCCTTCTCATCTATAAAATGAAGAGATTAGATTCAGTAGCCCCTCTCAGCTCTAAATCTACAATCTTTAATTATAAAATCAAGTGAGGTTCTTTGATTTCTGGACTCCAAATGGCCGTTCTTCAAAAAAGAAAAAAAATCGTGAATATAAGGCAAGGACCATTCACTTCTCAAGAGCCAATTGCTAATTTTTTCAGTGTGAGCTTTGATACCTCAGAAACTGGCAAACCCCATAAATCAGGGCTGGATTTATTATTTTATAGATTGTCTAGATGTAAGAAAATGATGGAGAAAATGTTCCTAATGCAGATTAAGCTTAACAATGTATCGTGGAAGAGAGTTTCCATGTTTTCATCTCTGCGGGTTTCCTAGTTTATGCCCTAGACATAAATCACGAAACAGAACGCCTTCCACATTTGTCAAAGGAAGGATGAAACCAAATGAGCGTAAATAATTTCCAAGTCAAAATGACAGTGAATACTAAAAATATTGATTAGAGTTTAATCAGCGCAGGAGAAACTTGCCTGTACCATCCTGAGGCTAATGAATTTGGAGTCAGAGTCAATATGTAAAATTATTCTGCTCTTACTTAAAAAAAAAAATAATGCCAGAAAGAACGGGAAGAAGAACACAAATAAATAAGAAAGGACCATCGGGGCAAGGATTGCTACCATTATAGTAGGCTCTCACCGCTGGCTTCTAAAGACTAGTGTTCAAATCAACTAACGTTTCTTAAGCATCTACTGAGAGGCAGGGTACGGTAGTGAGTAGAGAGCTCATCTTCCTTCCAGCCAGGAAGACCTGGATTCAAATTCCACCTCGGAGGGGTCCTGACCGAGTGACCGTGGGCAAGCTCTCAATGCCCCAGGCGACGATCTTAACACTATAAATTGTGGAGCAGGTTCCAGCCTGCATGGGAGAAGGAGTTCCGAGACTAGTGAAATCACAGGTCGAGTCCCTATTCCTGTCCCTAGCTGTGCCGTGACAGGAAGCCTGGGGAGAGGACTCACCCTACAGATAGGAAGAACTGAAGTTAGGCCCTTCGAAAACTAGCTAGGTGACCCTGGACAAGTCAGGGGCAGATCTCTGGGTGCAGAGAAAGTTCTGGGCTGCATCGAGAGAGGGAGAAGTCTCACCAGTTCATTGATCAGATGGAATCAGGGATGGGGATGAAACAAACACACACAATAACAACACACACACACACACAGAACAAAAATGCATACATAAGGAAGGGGAAGGGAAGGAAAAAGGGAATAAGCATTTATATCTAGCACCTACTAAGTGCAGACACTTTGCTAAGCACTTTCTCACAAATATTCTCTCATTTCATCCTCATAGCATTGCCTTGGAGCAATATCTCCATTTTAGTTGAGGAAACTGAGGCACGTAGGAGTGAAGTGACTTGCCCAGGGTCCCATGGCTAGTTAAGTATCTGAGGCTGGATTTGAACTCAGATCTTCCCAATTCCAGGTTCAGCTCTTCGGTGGCACAGCCAGATGTTGAGAATACACACTTGCGCACACTTCGCACATGCATATGTATTTGCCGTTGCTCAGTCATTTTTTCAATTGTGTCCTATTCTTCATGACCACACTTGGGGGTTTTCCTGGCAAAGATACTACAATGGTTTGCCATTTCCTTCTCCAGCTCATTTTACAGGTGAGGAAACTGGCAAACAGGGATAAGAGACTTGCCCAGAGTCACATAGCTAGTAAGTATCTGAGGCTGGATTTGAACTCAGGAAGACAAATCTTTCTGACTCAGGGTCCATGGCTCTATCTACTGAGTCACCTAGTTGCCCTATATAAATGTATATACATACATACATAGTCACACACACACATATATATATATACACATATATATACACACATACATACACGTGTCTGTATACGTATGTGTGCAAAATAATTAGGGGAAGGGGAGAGACACTAGCCTCTGGAGCAGGGACTAGAAAGGCCCTTTGGTAGAAAGCTGCATATAAGCTGAGCTTTGAAAGAATCTAGGGATTCTAAAGGCAGGGTCCCACCTGCCCTCCATCAGCCTCGTGGTTGCAAGATGACTGACTAGTCCTTCTGGGTGCCTTATCTCTCCATCTGAAAAACAGGAATTAGCTCCTGTTTCCACAAACCTTCCAAACAGAGATGAAATGTCTTATTCCGCAGGCACATTTATTGATTCTGCTTCATGAATTTGTACAAATAACACTTGTAATTCTCCTGTGATTTTTGAAACATGGTCAAAACCGAACTTCCATATGTAAGCTGGCTGCGGGATGTTTGTGATCATCTCTAGAGAAGTCACTACATTTTTATTTGTTTATGTATTTGGCTAGGTGCAGACTTGTGATTTTGTCAGTGTTAAGGAAATTCCAGTGAGAAAACTCCTTTTACCAATGTAGATTGGCAATGGTTTTTCAATTTACAATCCTAGAGACCTGCTAGGGGAGCTAAGAGGTTAAGTGATTTGCCCGCAGTCAACAGATAAATTAGATTTTCTCTTACTAATTTGTTCTTCTAACTTTTGCAAACAAAGTGATTTCACCAATAGAAGGGACTCCCAGTAAGGAAACTCCTTCCCTCAATGCAGATCACAACTTCCAGTTGCCATTTTTATCTTTGCATCCTCGTAGTGGCAGTTTAACAAATGTTTGTTGATTGACTGATTAACAGGGCACCAAGGTTGAACAATCTATCCATGGATATGCAGGTTGAACAGTAGCCCAGGTCCTCCTGGCTTTGAAGTCAGACTTGCCTTCCCGAAGGGAGAACTACCAGAGCTGTTATGTATTTAAATATTCGTCAATTCCTTCTGTTTCCTTACCCAGAGCCCCGGGTTTTCGAAACCTGTGATGGAAGCTTAGTGAAGCATGTCTGAGCCAAATGCTGGCAGCTTCTCTTCAATGTATTTTTCTTGGGGTTTGAATTTCTGAAAGAAATAAGATCTATTGACTTCTCTGTCGTTAGAAAAATAAAGCATGATATAAACATCTGACCTTTTTGCTCAGACCTTTGGGTACTGGTAGAAGACAATGGTTGTTAAAGTGTGGTACATGAGCTCAAAACCATTTTTTGTAATAATACCAAGATGTTATTTGCTTATTAAAATACTTCTTCCATAAGGCTGCATTTTCTTCATATACTTCAACCCAAACCCTATCACAACAGATTGAATACAGAAGCAGATAGGATAATCCAGTTATCTTCTACTAAGCCAGGCATTAAAGAAATTTGCAAAAAATATGTGAAAGAATACCCCTCTTCTTGTTGATTCCTTCTGTTTTGGAAAATATGGTTATTTTTCTTCCTCTCTTATCTTAAAAAATGTGTTAGGTAGCATAGTAGATAGAGTGCCAGGCCAAGACTTGAGTTCAAATTCAGTCTCAGACACTAGCTGGGTGATTCTGGGCAGGTCGATTAATTTTTGTTTGCCTCACTTTCCTCATCTGTAAAATGGGGGAGGGGTAATAATGGTACCCACCTCTTAGAGCTGTCGTGAAGATCAAGTGAGATAATGATAGAGCGCTTAGCACAGTGCCTGGCACATAGTAGGAGCTATGTGAATGCTGGCCTTTATTATGAAGCTTAACATAGAATGGGTTTATTATTGCCATTTTAAATGGCTATTTTAAAAAATTTATCTTTTATTTTCTAATATGTAATTACTGGTAGATATAATTCCTTTAAACAAAAGTTCTTTGGGATCTTCAATAATTTTTATGAATGTAAAGAGGTCCTGAGACCAAAAAGTTTGTATAGGGAACTCCCTGGTGAGGAAAAATTTCTCTGCCAAAGCTGACTGTGATCTGTTCTGCAATGTATAGTCTTAGAAAGTTTCATGGCAAGAGATTAATTGGCTTGTCCACATTCATTCAATTACTGAGTGTCACAGAAGACACTTAAACTCAGCTATGTCTGACTCTGACACCAGATCTCTATCCCCTATGACCCATTGTTCTTTCAGCCTGTAATATAGGGGTAATAATACCCACAATGGCTGCTAGGTGGCACCATAATGTACAAAGCGCCGAGCCTGGAGTCAGGAAGACTCATCTTCCTGAGTGCAAATCCAGCCTCAGACACTTCCTAGCTGTGTGACCCTAGGTAAGTCACTTTACCCTGTTTGCCTCAGTTTCCTCACCTGTAAAATGAGCTGGAGAAGGAAATGGCAAACCACTCCAGGATCTTTACCAAGAAAACCTCAAATGGGGTCACAAAGAGTCAGACATGACTGAAATGGCTAAATAACAAGGAAATTACCTGTAGTATCCACTTCAGAAGGTTATTGTGAGTCTTGATGAGAATTACGTAAAGTATCTGCTAAGTATAGCTAACTGTTAGGCATTTTTATTCATATTTCTGTTTTTGATGCAACCCTGGTATTCTATCACATTAATATGCTATGATTCATTTATTCAGGACTACTGGACATAGAGGTTTTCCCCCTTTTACAAACAGAGCACCGATGAATATTTTTGTACTAATAGGTCCTTTTCATGATCTTTTTTTTTTGAGAACAGAGCCCTAGCAAGAGGTGGAAGGGAATAAGCGCTCATAAAGCGCCTACCACAAGCCAGGCACCGTGCTAAGCACTTTACAAATATCTTGTCTGATCCTACCCTGAAAGGTAGGTGCTGTTATTATCCCCATTTTATAGTGGAGAAACTGAGGCAAACAGGTGAAGTGACTTGCCCAAGGTCACACTGCTAGAGTAGGCTAAATTTGAACTCAGCTCTTCCTGACTCCAAGCCCCATGATCTATCCACTGTGCATCCTGACATCTGGCTTCCTCTTGCCACACGCTTCACCTGGTGTCTTAAGTTCCCTGGGAAGAATGGGGGTAGGAAGTCATTAGCTGTGCAACACCCTGGCAGACCATTCTCTCTGAAGAGTGGGCCACTCTTTCCCCAGACCAACAACACCGCGTTAGGACAGACTTGCAGCTACCTGCCAATCCTGTCTTAAAAATGAGAACCAAGAGAAAAGCTTGGGCTCATTCTAGGATCTGTCTCATAAGCACGGTATCTTGTCCCCATGAATGAGGCTTTGTGTCTTGAAATCCAAGGTATCTCACTCCAACTGAATTAGCCCCAGGCATTAAAATTTCTAGTTACATTCCTGAGTCCCATCAACAATGTATCAGTGCCTTTTCCCTGACAATGCTGGATTTTATGTTTTTAGAAAAGATGAGTGTGTTGGGAAGGGAGGGAAGGAAAGATGGGGAAGGGATAAGAACATTTTTTTTCTATTAGAATACGGTAAATTTAATACTTTTTATTAGAAATATGATAGAGGCAGAGAGGCTAGAAAGCCAGCTTTGGTATCAGGAAGACCTGGGTTAGAATTCCACCTCAGCCACATACTAACTGTATTACTCTAGGTAAGCACTCAGTGTCTCCTAAGAAACTATAAGGTGCTAATCTGCCTGGTGAAGGGAGTTTCCCTATCAGGAGTTCTTTATAGCAATAAAATCACAGGTCTAATCTCATGGTAGAAAGAGTACCAACAAATAAATTGCCTGAAGAAATTGATAAAGTGAGGGGCAGCTAGGTGGCGCAGTGGATAGAACACTGGCCCAGAAGTCAGGAGGACCTGAGTTCAAATGTGGCCTCAGACCAAACACTTGACACTTACAGGCTGTGTGACCCTGGGCAAGTCACTTAACCCCAATTGCCAAGAAAGAAAGAAAGAAAGGAAGGAAGAAAGGAAGAAAGGAAGAAAGAAAGAAAGAAAAGAAATTGATAAAGTGCCCAGAAGCATGTTAGAAATAAAAGTAAATAAAAGTAAAAAAAAAAGTAAAAATAACATATATAGAAACAGGGACAGGGAATGAGACTTAGTAGGAGCTAAAGCCATCGAACAAGGTATTATCTAGAAGGGAAAAAATAGCCCCCAATTTAAATAAAGTAAACAATGCTTAATTGGATAAGGCAAATTGATAAGAAGGTGATTTGGACTGTTCCCCAGGGCTGTGACCCTAGGGTAGGATGAAGGTCTAACTCCAGGGATATATTTCACAGAGTGAAATTTGATGAGACATCTGGAGATCTGGGGAAAGTCAGCCACCAACAAGGATTAAGAAAGGTTTAGTCAAACTCATACAGAATCCATTTGTTACCTGAGATTATGAGAGCTAGTAGTCATGGCCTACTGAGTCGTCTGAACAGTAGCAGTCTTTCGCTTCAGGGAGGGGAGTTCTAGATTCAATACATTGATTCTCCTTTCTTGTTTCCACGGCAACGGCTACCAGGGAAACAGCCCTAGGAGGAACACCGCTGATTGGATACTCCCTTTCCCTCACATCCTCTGTGGATTGCTCATAATTTCGTAGATGTGAAATGATTGTTTTCCTGGGTCTGCCATAATCTTTCACTGAAAACCTGCTGTAACAATACGATATCTACGAGGAATTCAAAACACAGAGAGCACAGACAGAGCTGGGGGTGCGTGCCTTATTTCTTCTGACTTGACCAAGTCTATTTCTTCTTCTAAGAGTCTTATTTCAAATATACCTTTATGCTCAGAGGCCATGGGAAGAAGCATTTATGTGGTGGCTAGTATGTGCCAGGCACTGTAGTAAGCGCTTTACAAATACGTCATTTGATCCTCACATGAACCCTATGAGATAGGCCCTACTATTATACCTATTTTACAGTTGAGGAACTGAAGCCAATAAAAGTTAAGTGACTTGTTCAGGGTCACACAGCTAGTAAATGTCTGAGGCTGGATTTGAACTCAGGTCCTCCAGACCCAGCATTCTATCTACTGCACCACCTAGCTGCTCCTAAGATGTGTTTAGCAGCTATTAATAGATAGAGCTGGAATGCTTCCCTTTACATCTCCAAGTTTTTCCCTTTTACATCTGCATTCTTATTTCTGCCTTTGTGGAGGGTAGGAAGGTGGCTGGGGAGGTGGGGTAGGTGGGGTGCTCTTTAGCTCTTCTGTCTTCTACAGGGTATTGGGTTAGAATTCTATCAGATATTTGAAGTCTAAGGATGCGATGCTCTTTGGGGGTTTAGGGTGTAAGCCATTTTTCCCTGATTACTGCAAGTGTTCCATCCCAGTCTAGAAGGGTAGCAGGTAGCTTAGTCTGGGCCGGCTCTGCTCCACTCTCACCAATGCTTATTGTCCAAAAGATAGACGTCTAGCAAGTGTTTACTAAAGCAGGCAGGAAAACTACTCAGGGGAGCTATTCAAGTTAGATTAGGTGAGTGGACATAGAAGTCAATGGGCTCTGAGAATTCCGGAGTGAGCTGAAGTTCCACCTCAACTGAAAAAGAAAGATCTCACCCAAAAGTCTGTTCTTAGTTATCTCTGAGAATCTAGAAATGGGACTCTGGGGGACATTTCTCCTTTTTGCCATTCCAAAGCTTTGCCTTTTCCCCTTTTCTCTTCAACTCCCCCTTTTTTCCTCTTCAAAGACTCTCAGCCAATCAGGAGTCACATCTCCCAGCATCACAGGGCCATGGATGTGTACATGTTGTATGTATGATTCATGTGTATGTATCTATATCTGTGAGTCAGGCATTAATATATGTGTATGTATCTAATATATGTGTCTCTGTCAACGATCTTAGCACTATATAAATGCTCATTCCCTTCCCCCATCTTTCTCTTCTTCCCATACATACACATATACGTATGCATATAGACATAGACATATTTAATATACATATAACATATTATGTATATGACACTTATACAATATATTATTATATACAATGTATTATATTATATTATTGTATAGTATTATAGTTGTTATATTGTATACTGTATTGTGTTATATGCACTATATTATATACAACATAGTTACATGGTTTTTGGCCATAGCATATATGTGTCTAGGAGTTGTATCTCCACATCTCTTGAGTCTGTGCCCTCCTCTCTCCTCACACTGGCGTCACCTTAGTCCAGTCCCTTGTCACTGCTTGCCAGGACACTTGCAGTAGCTTGCTCGTGGAGCTCCCTGGCTCCAGCCTCTCCAGTAAATTCTGCACAGCCTTCCCACCAGTATTCCTCAAGCACAGGTCTGCATGTGTCACTCTCTTGCTCAAGAAGCTTCAGTTGCAGCCTTTTGCCTCTAGCATAAAAGTACAAGTCTTCTATCGTATATGTGTATATATGTGTGCGTATGTATGTATGTATGTGTGCATGTTGTCTCTTCCATTAGAACGTAAGCTGCTTGTTGAACTGGAATTATTTTATTCGCTTTACCTGCATCTCCAGTATCCAGCACGGCAACTAGCACTAGTAGGTGCTTACTAATTACCTGTTGATGAATTAGTTGAGGTTACGAACCCTGTGTGACTAATATGGTGGTGCCCTCTACAGAAATAATTCTACCAGTATTTGACTATTGGATTATATAGTAAGAAACGGGGTCACTTTGCTTCTTCACAGATACGGGGGACCCTGTGGGTGCAGAATGCTATAAACAATATCGGACTTTTGGGGGGGATGTTCTGATTAGTTTTGCTGAACTTCCCCCCCCTTTTGTTATTCACTAAAAGGGATGGCTCTCTGGAAGGAAGAGGACATAAGAGAAATGTAGGTGATAATATCAACACAATTATTCTTGAGGATTTGGACAAAGGAATTCAGCTTTGCACACAAGGCTGTGGGCCGGGGGAAAGGGGATAGAGAGCTTTCCAAACCTATGCATTATCTTCAGAGATAGATAAGTCACTTCAAAAAGTGCCCCATGTTTAAGAGGTGCAGTCAGGACAAAGTAGTGCCTGAGCGTGACATAATACAAAGACTGTTACTGAAAACTGGGAAAAGGTAAACTTTTTTATTGATGAAACTCTATTTTTTATTCAAGAATATGTGAAAAACTATTGTCAGAAGAACTCTAGGTAAACCTATATGATCTGGTCATCTAGGTACTTTCATTTCTGTCAAAGATCCACCAATTTTTTTTTAACTTTCAGAAGTCTTGCCCCCATAGAAGTACAGATGAATTCATTCAGATATATTGTTATGCTGAGAATCTGAATTATTCCAGAATTATAGAAATTCCCAAAAGGAGATGGAGTAGAGGAGTGCAAACTTGTACTACAAAACACATCCTGAACATTAAGAATTCGTTTGAGAAATGGAAGTGAACATGCTTCATTGGCCTTGAAACTTGCCTGATTTAAGGTAAGGTCCATTAGATAATATATATTATATTATAACTATATCTTTAAAGGTCTATCTGTTATACCCATATATGTTTTACATCTATAATCAAGTATAGACTGGAAAATGGAGTTTATCAATGGCATGGCAATGCAATAAAATGTGGTTACATGATAAAGAATAAAGAAAGAGAGACAAATGAAATTAGGGTGTGTGTGTCCATGTTTTAATTTCTTTCAAATTGGCTTTACATGCATTGCATGGGAGTTGTAGTCCAGAACTAGGCCCCCCTAAAGGGGCCAGTCCAGAATTGGCTCAATTTGGGATTTGGGGGTACAGGGTTATGTGCCCTTCGAAGAGGTGTACCCCAGGGGTGCCAATCAACTCTGATTGGTCAACACACTAGGAGGTGGGCTATCTTAAAAATCAGGTCTTGAGTACGTGATTTAGGTCACTTAATCCTGGTCAACAGGGGCTGATATCATACCTGTTCTATCAGACCATCCCCAGTCTTGAGCTATCTAGGCAGAAGAATCTGTCACCACCCAAATCTGAGCAGATTAAATCGGTTCTGGCCTGGGTTGGAGTTTGACCAGGGTAAGCTCAATGCGATCTTATAATCACTAATGTCCTTCTGAAGAACTTTTCAGAAGGGGGCTGGGGGCTCTGAGTGTCCCAGACACCAGTTACCAAGAGAAATCATTTTTCACACAGGAAAACTTTCTCACACTTCAGTCTGCATGGAAGTAGAATCGATTCCCTGGAGAGGTGATGGCTTCTTCCTCCTGGGAAGTTTCCAAGCAGAATCTGTTTGGGACACTGTAACAAATATAATGAGGATTCTTTTCATGTGGAGGTTAATTCTTTTTTAAATATACATTTATTTTTGGGGAAGAATTGAATTTGATAGGCACCGAGGTACCTTCTAACACGCAAATTCTATGATTCTTTGATTCTGAAACAAGAGGCATTGTGAACTAGTGCCTGAAACATAAGCATTTATTAATCACTTATTATATGCCAAGCACTGTGTTAAATGCTGGCACTACAAACAGAATTGCAAGCCAGACCTTGCTCTTGAGGAACTCAGATTCTCATTGGAGGAAACATCACGTATAGAGTTCTTAAGGTGCATTCTGGGAATACAAGAGGCTGATGGGATCTAAGCAGGCAGAATTTGGCGCCAAGTGGTTCAGGGACAACTCACCCTCTTAATGTGTACCATCAGACACCAGAGGGTGCTCTGGGGTAAACACTAAACCAAGAATGGGGGACCTGTGGCCTCAAGGCCCCACTCCTGCATTAGACTCGCTGGCTCCCAGAGAACTAGCCCACACTTTCCCTTGTGTGTGTGAAGTCGAGGCAGGACTGGGGACGAATCATCCAGTCAGACCGTGGCTTGTTTTTCCGTCTCCTACTCTAGGAAAACCCCTGCCCATAAAATATAGCACACAAATCTCTGATTTAGTTGCTTATACTAACTGGGGGGCAGGGAACACTAATTATACTCCCAGTGTATGCAGTCAAGCTTTTTAATAAAAGTATGCTAATGATATCTTCTAAAACAGACAACCACCCCCTGACATTTTAGAGGTTACAATAGGTTTATTTTACAATGTGCTATCTCTGCCCTTTGGAAGGCTATGAGTCTCCTTCAGGTGGTCCTGTGGCAAATATCCACCAAGCGATCTATATTATCCTTGAACCTCAGAGAAGTTTCTGAGTCTCAAGCATGGGAAATGCAGGTGAAAACCCTACTTGGGAGCAGGCTGATGACTGATATCTCAGGTGTGTTTTTATATTTTTAGCTAAAGTTGATTACCACCTCATTTGATTGTTTACTTCAAAATTCCTGATTGAGTTGTTGATACTGTTTTCTGATTGGTGGTCTGTCTTATTGGAGGGTCCTCACATGCTCATGAGTTCTTTTTAAGGAAAATCACACAAACCGGCTAAACAGGTGCCTATTTTGTTGTCCAAAAACAACTTATAGAAAAACAGCTTAATCGCAAAATGGAGGCTTAAAACAAAATGGAATCCATTGTGCTGAGCTGACAAACTTCCATTATCTTTATTAAAGTGAT